CCCATCATAAATTCGTTTTCGAGTTGCTGGCTGCACATGTTTATCATTGTCCGTTTCAGGTTGTGGCTTGTTCGTGCGATTCACATTTCTCCCATCTCGCCTGGATTCAAACCCCACGTAAAGAAGGAGGACTCGGTGATATGAATATTCCAGTTCTTTCTGATTTTAACAAGAAAATTGCTAGAAACTTTGGTGTCTTGGATGAGGTACGTACGATAAAAAGGGCTCATTTCACGATCTCCTGAGGGGGAAAATTCCTCACTTGTTCTAGGGGGTTACCGCAGAACCGATTTCTCCTGTCGAAAGTGCGCCCCCAGGGAACTAGATTTTTGTAGTTGTTTGGTACTGTTAATGTCTCCACCCTCCTCCTTTCCCCTTCCCCCCCCCCCTGTTTGGTACGCCTTACAGCCGCTCGTCTGCGCTTTTTCACCGAATTTATATAAGTTTAGGTTGTCAGGCGGTGTACAGTACCCCCGGAAATTGCACGGGGGATTATTATGTTGATGCACACTACGGGGCCTGGGTCTGGGTGGACCACATCATTTAGGCGTGGGCTACTGCAGCCTGGCCGTGCCTGCCAAGGTCGGGCGGGTCGCTGCCCGTTCTGCTGCCTTTGGCCTTACTATTTTGCATGTAGAGAGAATCCTACCCTGAAGGCAGTCGCGAAATGGGTCTTTAGGTAAATGTTCTCTGTAATAACAGCTTTGTATGTATCTTTAGGAAACCGGTTTGTCATACCGTGGTCTGTTCTTGATTGATCCCAATGGCAACATTCGTCATACTACTTGCAATGATTTACCAGTAGGACGCTCGGTAGAGGAGGCCTTGCGTGTGCTCAAAGCATTCCAGTTTGTCGAGAAACACGGAGAAGTAGGCTTTTCCCATCATCAAATGTCGGTGCAGTTCGGCGTCGGGGGGCATTTTGCACTTTTGCTACTCTACCAGTTCCGCTTTACAAATCTCTCGTAAAATCTGTGAAGATGGAGCAAGCTCGCTGAGCACCATGGTTTAACCTGTCAACTCTTGAAAACTCATGAAACTCCAGATTTGTCTATGGAAAGTAGCAAAAGTGCAAAATGCCCCCCCCCGTGGCCGAACTGTTCCTTAACTTCTTTCCGTCATAATTGAGGAAACCGGCATCGTCCGAGTACTTCCAGGTATGCCCTGCCGACTGGCACGACGATTCTCCAACAATCAAGCCCGGTGTCAAGGACAGCAAAGAATATTTCAGTAAAGTGAACAAGTAATAGGATTAGAGAAGCCTAGTCGAAACAATTGATAGTCGATGTTCTATACTTAATTGTAGTGCTTTTGAGAGGTCGTAAAATGCTTGCTTGTGTTTGTCCTTCCTCGAATATACGGTTACTAGAATTAAAAGCGTTTAAAATAAAAGCTGTCGGTGATTTTTTCATTTTTAACAGGAGGCGTGCCCAGAACTACTTCCTAGAGAGACTAAAGCTCAGTCAAGAATTTTCAAAGATTTTCTTCAGAATGCCCGATGAATTGTTTGCGATATATGGCACAGAGTTTGAGGACTTGGAAGAAGATGAGAGTAGGCATTTTCAACTCTAAATGGCTTTTGATTAGTTTTTCGATGCTTTAGTGACCAAGACGCAGGGGTAGTACGGATCCGCAACCTATTAGGAGTAAGGCCTTGTCTAACGCGTTGACGAAATGACGTTCACATAACTCGTTATTGACCAGAAGCGATGGATTCGAGCACGCTGTACGCGACGTGGGGTCATATTTGATCGTTTGAAGGGGGGGGGGTCATATTTGGCCTAAGAAATATTTTTCTTGATATTAGGTTCGCGGGAAAGTTTTGTCACGTTTTTCAAACTAGGCTTTCTTTTTATAGAGAGGCGTGTAAGATCAAAATTGTACAGCAATGTTACTGCGGGGTTCTTGCCAGTTTTTGAGCACCTCATGGATGCCATCGCTTCACAATGCAGGAGGCGCGACGCAAAGTTGGACATCATCTCAATCTTGACTTGAACTCGGGTTATCGAGGTTTTCTCGTCCACATAACGATTGAGTACGGGAGGTATCTATCAGTAGGAGCACACTAGTGCAAGAGGAGAGATATCCAGCTCTATTGCATGAGGAGGTTCAGCTCGTTTCTTGTACGGAGTGCGCTGCACTATCATGATGAGGGCGGGCTGTGCGGAAAAATTTTCCTCTCTTATCGACGGTACGCTTTAGATCTCGTAGCTGCTTTGCGTACGCATTGACCGAGTAAGCATCCAGCACTTTCACGACCCCCAGCTCCCTCAGTCTGGGTTCACAGGTGCACCCAAACATCACCTCGTCATCAAAACTGTAAGCTCCTGCTTTGAAGCATTAGCGTCGTGGAGGGTTGTCCGATAATTGAGGGCATGTCTTATTCAGCCTCCACTATTGTTGGGCGTCTGCACTATCATCTGGCGTCAGAGTGGTGAGAGAAAGAGGAATGAGCAAGCCGCTTGCGAGGGTCGGTGGCGACTAGTAGCGCGATAAAATTTTGCCATATTGCAGACGAAGCCAGGTCAGCGAGTGGTTAATTAATAAATAGAACATTCCCTTGATATGTGAAGTGTCCACATTGCGCGGGGTTACCACCTCTTGCAGGTGAATAGTAAGTATTTTGGAGTTGAAAAAAGTGTGACAGACTGTCCCGCCAAGTAATAGTATGTATTTCGCCGTGCGGTTTTTCCTCGTTTACATGTGCTATATCCTCGCCCCCGCCAGCTGGACAGCTGATTTTTTGGGAAAAAATTGAAAAGTTATAAAAGAAGTATTTGGAAGGATGGGAGAAACTTTGGAGAAATCGGTTGATGGTCGTATGAACGGGAAGGGGGAGACTTGTCAATAGAGAGAAAATTTAGGGGGTGGAGGTCGTATTCAGCACAAATTTTCCCGAGCGACAGGACGTGCCTTGGCTGTACTGTATCACTGCCAGTGACATCTTCAAGACGCAGGTTCTTGTGGCGGCGGGTGCACCAGCGTCTGACCGTCTACCAAGCAGCGTTTTGCGGCCTTTCAACGTTGGGCAAAACTAGAAAGCGAAACAGCTGTGGACGCTGGCCTTTCGTAATCGATATCGATACTTTCCTGTCGCAGGCACTGGCATTCGCTCGAAATGCTGTCGTGCGCTAGTGAACGCAGGTGGAGCTGCCGCAAAATTATGAACACTGCCTAACGCGTCTGACACTGCATCTATCATCAACTGGTAACGCATTCACGTACCTAGCGTTAACATCTAGCGAAGAAACCACAGTTTTTATGGACAAGCTTGTATCAAAGCCCTTAGGGTCCCTTTTGAAGATATTTCCGCCCCATGCTGGGGTCTTTACTTCCTACCTTAGATGAGAAAGTGATAGGCTTTTTGACGGTAATCCCAAAGTTGTCCCGGAGAGGTCGCGGCTTTTCCTCGTTTTACGCGTGCTAATCCTCGCCCCTGCCAGCTGGGCAGCAGATTTTTGGGGAAAAATTGTAAAAAAGGAAGTGTATGGAAGCGTGAGAGAAAGTTTGGAGTGGTACGTAGAACGGGAGCGGAGAGCGTACCAGAGGGAGAAGATTAGGGGGGGGGGCGGATCGTATTTAGACGTGTCGGCCGTGTGGGGGCAACATACTTAGCTAAGCCTGCACAAGTCACTGTGTGAAAACCCGTAAACTCTCGTAAGCTTGGTTGCTCACTTGTACCATTCCGCGGCTCCACAGGGGTTACCGAAATTGAACCTGCTAGTTATTCATGAAACCAGAAAAAAAGAACTGCGGAAGGTATAGAATAGCCATATCCGCTTTGGAAGCAAGTTGGAGGGGCTCTCCCAGCCCCTCCAACTTGTTCCAAAATCCTATACGCTATGTAGATTTATTGTGTCAAAACGCTGATGTGATCTTTTTCAAGAGCTCTCGAGGAAGCCGACCGGCATAGCAGATCAGATCGTAACGGATGAGAATGGGAGACGCAGGTAAGACTCTATCCTTATAATATGATGATGTCTGCATGATTGAAAAGAAGCTTTTTGCTTCATTCCTTCTTGAGCGCGATTTAGAGCTGGATGAGTTCATTTGCGGTGATTCCACCCCCCCCCCCCACCTGTCCTTTCATAGCTCGGTTGCCGCTACATTAGCAAAACAATGCGCTGTTTTGAATGTCATAATCTCGTCAAGTAACCACTGTATGCTGCTGACAAAAACATGCCGCCCATTTGACGCCTGTTGGAGCCGGTGTCAGAAGCAGATGTGATGTTCGTTGGCAGGGAATCGTTTATCTGAATTTTGATGAAAAAAGTGGTGGCGACGAGATGCGCCACCTGTGATTTGGCGGCTGTGGTGCTGGGGCCAAGAATAATGTAGTAGTCGTAAGCAGGGCATCGAATCGACATCCACTGGGCAGTAAAACATTTTTGCTTCGTGAAAAGTGGTGGTGGCGAATTGGCACCCGTCCCAAAAACGAAAGTAAGATTCGTGAACAGGGCAGAGAATAACCTCCATAGTCAACGTTTCAGCAAAAGTGTGATTGAGTTTCGTAGTAATAGTTGAATAGTGGTAAAAATGTGCTCGAATTATAGGTTCCACGGTGCATTCACTGGAGGTTTCTCAGCCGGCTACTACAACACTGTTGGCACAAAGGAGGGTAAGCAATATTTGTGAAGATTCGCAACAGTGGAACCACACACGTCTTTGAATGGTTCATGCTTTGCGTCAGCATTTTGAACGTTCGCCAGCCTTTTCAGCGACTGAGAAGGTACAGATACCGAAGTGCATTTTGAAGGATCAGTCGAAAACGCTGACGTAAAATATGAACGTGTCACTCATACTTTTGTCAAGCTTGCTTTTATAATTGTTGCAGGATGGACTCCACAGGAATTCCGCTCTTCGCGAGATCAGCGAGCAGTCAAGTTTCAACAAAGAGCTGAAGATATAATGGATGAAGAGGTACCTTTAGTAATTGCTTTTGTTTCCTCGTTCACTTTTCCTCGTATCACTACCATGTCGTAGCATTTTTGAAATTTCAAACTGCCGTAGAAGAAATTTTCCGAAGTCGTTCTTTAACAGGATCTGGGGGAGTTTGGTATAGGAGCGCGACGAATCCGTACTGTGGAAGAATTTGGCTCGGGTCGATCGGCAGAGAAACGAATGGCATGGGAACATGACGTGACCAGCAGTTCCAACACTTCGATGGCGATGCACTTGGAGAATATTATAAGGCCAGTCAGGTAAGTAGAACAACTTTAGGCTATGTCCAGCTTCGGAGGGGCAGTTTGCACTTTCGCTAATTCATTTTCCTCGTTCCTGTAAACTTACAAGCCACACCTTGCTGAGACTGTAGATTCCTCTCATTGTCAGATGTAAACGGAGCTCTTTACTATTGCACGCTTTACAGAAATTCACAAGTATTCTTAAGGGGAAATGGCAGTGGTTAATGGAGACCAGCAAAATGCCCACACCCAGTAGAATTGGGGCCAGTTTTAATGTTTAATATTCCCCTAATTGTTCCTCTAAAATTGACGTCGGTCGTCTAAGAGACGTCTGCCTTTATATGAGGATTTTTCCTCCAAGTTAGTTATTATTGACGGCTGTAGTAGTCATGGCGGACCATCCGATAGCGTTGGGAAGCTGCTTTTGCGTTTTCTGGTGGACTCAATAGTAGCAGTGATTCGTGATGTTCCTATTTTTGAATTTATTGAAAACTTTTACCGCTCCCCCTCCCCCCGAACTTTCGCTTTCCTTCTTGTTTTCAATTACACCTTCTGCTGCAGTGAGCCAAATAGCGAAAAGTAGAGCGAAATGGAAAGTTGTTTTTTTATTGAAAGTATGCGAGAATCGGAAAATTTCATTCTTCCAGCGACTCCATCGGCAAGCGAATGCTTCGGTCGATGGGTTGGCGAGAAGGACGAGGTGTGGGGTTAACGACAGCGAAGACAAAAAGGCAATGTGAGTTTTTCCTCGAAGTTTCAGATGATCTTGTTACCCACACTGTGAAAGGGTGATGCGGTCTCCAAACGATGCTCATCGTTGAAAGTAATTTAGCCTTGTTCGCTACGGATGAAGGGGCGTGTTAGCGATGCCGATTTTGGCACGTCGCCGGCTCACAATCAGTTGTTGAAGCGACTAGGCGACCTGAAAACGACTGATACGAACGATATGATTCACTCTTGTCGCTTGCCGAAAGAAAGAAGTAACAACAAGCTGGCGGCGTGTCATATCCACAGCCCTTAACACGCAAATCATCTGCAGCGAGCAGTACTAACTATATCAAAAATACCAGAGTAAACTTGGAAATGGCCAAAGTTTGTCGACAATTGAACTGTGCATGTATTACGTTGATAGGTAGCGCTCTATAACTGTGGATTCTCGCGCTCATCTTGCGATTGAGTTGCCTTCTTAGGTACCAAGTACGTTCAATGTGATGCGAAGTTCTGCTAGTTGCAGTTGACGAAGTGGACACGGAGCAGATGAAGGCCAAGGCACCGGGCGGATTCGATCCTGCCGCAGAAGATGTGCTTATGACGCGACTGCGCTCTGTCGAAGGTGTTCATGGTCTCGGCTACGAGGCAATGAGTGCGTCATCAGTGCTTGATGAGCGGTATGGTCGCATTGCGTCAGCTTTCAAGACAAATGCAAAGAGTCGTGGGATTAAAGGACAGGTGAGGAACATTCGTATATTAATATCTGATCAAACGTTTCTAAGCGCTGTTCCGCCTGGGAGGGGCATTTTGCATTTTCTGTAGTACCTTTCTCTGACTTCATGTTAACCAGCAGGTCTCATTTTGACAAAACCTGTAAACACTTGTGAAGTAGCGGAATGGTAAAAGCGACCACATTTTCACATTACTCTTTGCTCACAGGACTCACCGTTCTTCACAAGGTGAGCTGGACAGGGCTCATTGAGTACCAAGCAGTGCCCCCACCAAGCCGAACTGCGCCTTTTTCTGTCTCAAAACGTGAAATCGTCCTTGTGCTATAAACAGCTAGTAGAAACAGTTGAACTTGTCACTCGTGACTATTGACAGTAGTTTGTTGGGGCTGAGAAGAGTCATCAGCTACCAAAGAATCGGTTTCTGATGGATGAATGGCTCCGTTGGCCTAGCCAAGCCCCATCCCAGGATTCCGGAAAGATGAAGTGGTAAAAATGTGTAGGCATAAAGAGGTCTTTCGTGTAAGATCACTGCATTCGTGCCTTGGTAAGATATGGGAAGAACTACGATTTCAATATCGGCTAGCAACATCTCTTCACAAGACTTGTACTGTCCATTGCTTCTGCCCTCCTA